TCATAATTAATTTAGTTATCAACATGTCCCTTGCAACGTTATTACACCTGTATACAGCAGAAAAAGAAAAACTGTTGGAATAATACCAGACGAGAAAAATAGCATTTTTATATGGTTAAGTATCTAAGAACAAGCAATTTCCGTAATAAAAGATAACTTCAGTTACAATATGGTGCGAAACTAATTAGATGAACTTCGAGTACAATCATATGTCACAAAAAATAATTTCAAGTCATTTTTCGAATATTTTAAATTCTAGTTCCTTTTAAATTCTAGTTTCTTTAAAGGCAGAAGTCTAGTACACTTGGTAAGACTATAATTCATGGATGATCTATGAGCGACGCTAAAGTGACCTTAAGAATGTTCACCTATTAAATAGGACTAAATGACGGTTATAAAGTAGTGTGAGTAATTACAATTATGATTTGCAGTTGATGGTCAGTGTTAGGAACTAGACCTAGAGTTTCCATCACCAATTGACATCAGCTATATTGCAGAACACGCTATTTAGTCAAATGGATGAGGGGATATTTTTGGTCAAAATTCAACACCTGTTATCTTATATCTGATTGGTTCGTCTATAGATTATAGTCTCTCCGTAAACTTGAACTATTATTATTTTATTACTATGTAGCATGATTATTCAATATCGTGTCATCTTAAATGGAATAACCCGTGATACAGTATTTTTGTTAAGCAGTTACTAATGAGTATATTGTATTGGTATTTCTGTAAATGAAGTAGATTAACTGAACTGTTTATCTTCCAGTATATTAATGTGAGAGTTTGTCATCTAAAACTTTTACCCGGTAAGATTCAGGTAATTTCACTCAATAGTAAACTACTCGATTTATAACAAAACTATTAAATTATTCAAAATGTTATTTAGTTTTCCATTGTTCAGTTGGTACTTAATTATTATCGTATTGTAAAATAATAATATCATAGAAATCATTTATACAATAATAACTTAGTTACCAGATAATATATGTATAATACATTCCTTGAAATCAATTGGCCTGTGAACAAGGAGATGGAAATATTCAAAAGTGAAACGAATAAATAGAATAAAATATTACTAATGTTCGTGTTCTTATATATGGAGGGAGGGGGAATACTCTGTATGTAGGTTAACGATAATCCATTTCATTACACCTTTTGCTTAATCAGTAATTATACTGCATTTTGTGAATTTTATTAGGTCATATAATAATATATTTGCATTACTCTAATGAGAAGAAAATTAAAATTTTACACATTGGGATATCACAAATAGATTATTAATTTATTATTGTAAATAATCCACCAAATATTCAGTTTATATGAAATTATCAGGTTAAATGTTAGTAATGGTACCTATCTATTAGGTTACTTCAGTTTCCACTATTAATGGTGATAAAAAGAAACTGTTCCTCTTATTTTTGACATTTTTAGGTTATTCTAAAGTTTTTCATTGTAAACCTACATAAAGAAAATACATATGATCCAGGATGTACTTAATATATTCGACGCAGATATTTACCTAATTTCGACTAATAATGTTATTAAATCGCTTCTTTTTCTTACTCTATAGTCATATAATCCAAACTATTCAGTCATTAAAAGTTAACAATATTGTGTTATTTACCATAAAATGCAAATTTATTACTATCTCGTGAGATAGACTGCAACATGTATGGAACTTTAAAAGATCCCAATAGAATAACCCTAAGTATTAATTATTCTAATAGACATGAACTGTGTTCGTTTAATTTCACCTTATTTTTCCCAGAAAACAAATTTTTATATATCCATTATATCATATCCAAAAATGAGTGAAATCTCTTATTCCAGTTTCCACCTAATAGAGCATTGTTCTGAATGTTATAAATATTTTGGTATTTTCCTTTAGCTTGATGAATGTACCAATCAGATGCTAAACAGTACCCTATAGGACGCTCTTTAAACTGTTAATTGTACTGATATAAATTATAAAATTTAACTATTTTTATAAATTAAGCCATGATAACATCTATTATTCTGCAAATAACTCCTTCCACGTTTCATTCTTGAATCTTGCAAGTTTATTTTCTTTACGAAGTCCCTTTAATCTGGCTTAATACTATAGTAATTTAATGTTCTATCCATTCAGACAACACAACCATAATAAAGTATCTTATTTGATTATTTTTATAGGAAAATATGAGGTAAGATCTACCAATATCATTACATACTCTCAGTACTTTATTGGTATACAGGAACAGAGGTATATAAAACAGAGATTTTACTATTACTCCTTACTGTAAATTATTGTTTATTCATACCCAATTCCAATACACAACGTCGAAAATCAGGTAGTTTAACTTTACGAGTTACTGATTTTGAGTCTCAGTATAAACATCATCACTGAGATCCAGGTGTATTCAGATGATGAATTCTAAATGTGGTGAAATGTACATCATGGATTCTTCTACTAGCAGAATATACCATTGTGTTAATTTAATTAAACTAATGTTGATTCGATCGATACAATCGATTGACACTAAGGACTAGACAACAGGATTTTGGTTATTACTAAGTTACCAAATAGTGTAGATGGATGAGAAGGAGAAGAAAGAAGAAATGATCTCCACTGTTGAAAAAAACAATAAATTTGCTACTCCATATTGGTAACAAACAATAAGCTTCCATCTTTGATTGAGTAAACAATAAGATTTTATATTTATTTAGAATAATTTTCGGATTTTCGATAAATAATATTTATCATATTAACTTATCTATATGTATAATCAATGTAAGAACAGTCCTTCTGCGTTAAAATCCAGAATCATTTATGAAATGATATTTGTGTTAATGTACATGATAAAAACTATCTACTGACTAATGCAAACGAAACACTAACTTGATTGTACTTGAGAACAAGCTGTGGATAACATTTTGTTCTGTTTGAGATAAAAACTGTCAGCTATGATGTAAATGAACTTATGTTCAACATCTGTACAGTTTTATGTTGAATTATTTGATTTATCTTCCAATATGGCATTGAAAAAAATAGTTACGGTGAATTTGATTACATTTTAGGCTTAAACTCAGTACAGTTAATTTTTGTTCGTAAAGATATCAAATTATATATAGTACATGTAATTTTATACAGTTGGTAGCGGTTTTAAGTAGTTATAAATCACACACATCAATAATGATAACTAGTTAGGTAAGTATTTATCTGGGATGAAGATATTCTAGACGCTTGGAGCTAAACATTGATCTTAACTTCTATTCTAAAGAAAAGGAAACTCTCAGCCAGTGTTTGGATTATTTGTATTAAATTAGCAAACGTACAATTTCAAGAATAACTTTCAATGAATCATTTCACTTAAATCACAAAAATAATATTACACTACTGAACGTAAATTAACTAATGTTAAGTAATGCAATTTATTAAACTTAATTAATTATCATGAAAGTTTTTGCCAAGTGCAGAAGCAGCGGAAAACATAGATCTTTGAACGACTATTTAGTTTTAGTTAGGGATAACCCCATATGAGATTGAAGTCCTAAAAACATACTTGAACCACCGAATCGATATCTAGCGACATAGATTTTCAACTTTGAATAGTTTCTTATAAATCGTGATTCTTATCCCATTTTTCGGTAAATAACTGTTTCACTTGTGACTCGGTTGAATTCATCTGTTTTGACTTTTCACAGAGATTTCATAAACCAATAATCGTTATTTCATTTTGAGAACCAATTGAAGTTGTAAACCTAATCATTACATGCCGACTCACTGGCCTAAAATTATCATGTTCTTGTTGCAACCTAATGTTTATAGGGTCCATTCTAAATAGATTCACCTTTGTGCGTTGACAAGAAGCTCCTATCTAGAAAAAATAGCCATCTGGTCCTCCCTGGCTACAACCACTTCGTTAGCTGGTATCAGTTTGTAGCAAAAAATATTATTACCGGCACAATTTGTTCAGAAATTATGATTAAGATCTGCATGAAAACTGAAGACTTGAGACAAAATGGACTGATTAATATTGACTATAATGTTGTTAGTATTCATGAAATATATTTCTCTATAGATAAAACTGCCATAATAGGACCTCTCACTTTAGTTAGGTATGAAATTTTATCTAACTTCATTGGATTTACACTATCACAAAATAGGAGTAAACCAAATGACTTGGAGCAAATAATGGTTGAATATTTTTTTCTGTATGTATACAAATCTGTTGGATTTGTGAATTTACCGTTTTGTTTTTCAAAAAGGGATCAAACCTACAGTATTTATTCTGATCTGTGTTATCGACATGACAAACTGTAATTCACTTAAGAAGAATTGTAAATAGCTCACTAGTATTCTAAGTTTAGATAGATGAAGTTATCTAGAGAGATAATGAGATCTTGATAATTAAACAGTTCTATTCAGAGAATGCGACATCAAGAAAATTCTCTACTCGAGCTGCATATTGTCTCTGTCATCGCAAAATCCTACGAGTATTACGTTTTCACCTATATATAATCTAGTAAGAGAAATTTATGAAAATTACAGTTAAAATGAACTGAAAACATGAAGAAATAACAAGCTGATAAACATTTATGTAAAATCCAATATCTATGCTTTCAAAGATCCACAGTAACTCATTTCAGACTGAATTTTAACAAAATAAGGAGTCTTTAGATTAAATAATTTTATAATGTTGGTTACCATCTTTACTAGTAATCATAATTAATGTCACCAGTTGGACAAAAATCTACTCATACTCATAATGAGGAATAACATCGAGTTATTTGTTCAAATGAGTCAAATATAAAACCCAAATACAGAAATATTTATAAGGCAATGACCTACAAATCGTAATGCAGAGGAATTGAACTTATAAACCAGTTGTTGAGAATCAAGTACCTACACGATTTCGTCACTGATTCACAAGATAGAATATTATTACGTCGACTTATATTTAAACATATCCAAACAACATTTGCTTATAAGAAAAGGTTGATATAACTGACATTACCTTTTGATAATAGTTTATCTAAGTATGTTTGTATACGTACAGATTTTCTTTGTGAATTATCCAAATCATTCTTCCGTTCAGATTCTCTATATCTTAGACGTTTCTGTATTCGATTATTTGGTGCTGTTCGAATAGTTAAATTATGCCCTTGACAATTCCATCGGTGTGCAGAAAACTGATATTCACATTCTTTTAAACCCATAAAATAACCACGTATCACACTTTCCATTAAATGCAAATACTGACGGCATAATTTTTTTTGTCTTCGTAAAAATCCATTTGGATGATCACATATACTCATTTGTAATTTTCCATCGGGACCGACAAATGTTTCTGTTGTCATCATATTGTCATTATTATTGTTCATATCTTGAATTGTTTGTTTTAACTGAGTTTGATTTAATCGTTCATGATTATAATTATCTGTGTTTAAATCTGGATTCATATAATTTCTGTTTGTTTGTGGATAATTTAAACTTTGTGATTTTGATGCTTCTACAAAACGTAAGTCAGAATTTGTCTGACGATGATATACTTCAGTATTGTGATTATTTTTATCTAATCTATTTACTAATGTTGAATCACCATCAATAGCATCATGTTTCTGTTTAACATTATTATTCTCTGAAGATTGTAATAAACTGTTTGATTGAAGATTATCATCTGGTATATCTGTGATAAGTAATTCCCTCAGTTGTGAACTAAGAGTAAACAAACATAGAAATAGTAGAATATTTAACCAAACAGACATTCTTATATGTATCATTCACAAGTAATAAATATAATCATTAAATAAAACATATCCACAGTTATAGTTATGGTTTGTGCTTTAACTATAAACTAGTTTAATTTTAATAATATGCAATAATAAGGCTGGTATTCATTGTACAAATTTATCATTTCACTGGATTGATCTTTTCTTTTTTTAGATGTTCAAGTTATTTCTTTTTATTTGTTATAATCCAAGAATATTGATTTTTTCTTTTTTCTTTTTTGAATGTAAATAAACCGCTCAAAGTTACCGCAATCTTTTTCTAAATATGTACAATGTTAGATAAAATAGAAGTGAGAGAAAACGAGAAAGAAAAAAAATTAACTAATAGTCTGACTTGAGTTTTGAATGCTGACAGAATTTCCTATCGTTTATATTAAGTTTTAATAAAAGCTCATAAATCATAATTCACTGACAAAGGGTATATAAATGAATGAAACAAAAATTTTAATGTTATAAACAATGATAAATGTTAGCCTGTTCGTGTATCTTCTTGTTCAACAAAATACATATATACATGTCTATGATATATTGTTTACATGTATGATTCAATCTAACTAAAGGGTGGTTGTAAATTGTGACCTCCTAGTAAGTTGTGTTTAACGCTATTCAGTAACTAACTCTAATTGGATTGGTCAATGTTCACTCTCTTTCTAATTCTATGTCAATATATATACATATATATGTAAATATGTGTGTGTGTGTATTTGTGTGAAATCAGCATAATTCATGTTCAGATTATATTCGTATTTTTGTGCTTCAATCTATTGTCAAATATCCTACTAAATGTTCCTTTCTTTTTGTTGTTGTAAGCTCTCATATATATATGGCCTTCAATAATTAAATAAATAAAGGCGCATAAATATCAAATCTACATCCTATCAGTTAAATCAATCCAGACTTTAGTGTTAGAGATTAAAATTCAAGTAAATTTGAATTATTGCTTAGTCGACCTTTTTATTACTGGTTTATACAATGATGAACTCTTTAGTGTAGGGATATAAATTATCTATAATAATAATAATAATAATAATAATAATAATAATAATAATAATAATAAATTTTTATTATTTTTTTTATGAGAATATTGAAAATAATAAATTTTTAGTTTCATTTTGTATGTAAATAAGAAATAACTAAATTAATGAATGACTGATTACTTTTACTTTATTGATACATCAATATTTGCTTGTTTTTTTGTTTGTTTTAGTTGTTTTGGTTTGTTTGTTTATGAAACAGATGTATATGAACAAAGAATACTTTACTTTACTTCATAACTTACGACTGTTACTCCTCGTGAAGGAGCGTAGGATACCCATCAGCACTCTATATTCAACCCTGTCCTAGGCAATCCTTTTCAGCTCTTTGCAGTTGTTATTCGTCCTTTTCATATCTGCTTCTAGTTCCTGACGTAATGTGTTCTTTGGCCTTCCTCTTTTCCTTTTCCCTTCAGGATTCCAAGTTAGAGCTTGCCTCGTGATGCGGTTTGATGATTTCCACAATGTATATTCCTATCCACTTGAGGCGTCTTTTCCTAATTTCCTCTTCAGCTGGAAGCTGAGGGCTGTTGTTGATGGTGTCCGGTTAATGGATGTTGAGTATCTTGCGTATACAGCTATTTATAAATACTTGTACCTTCTTCATGATTGTTGTAATAGTTCTCCAAGTTTCAGTTTAGTACAGTAGAACTGTTTCGACGTTCGTATTGAAGATTCTCACTTTGATATTGGTTGACAGACAGTTGTTTTGAGTTCCATATGCTATTTAATTGTAGAAATGCGGCCCTTGCTTTGCCAATCCTCGCACTTTGCGTCTGCATCTGATCCTCCTTGTTCATCGATGATGCTTCACAGGTTCGTGAAGGATTATACATCCTCCAGAGTTTCGCGATCAAGTGTGACTGGGTTGGTGGAACAAAGAATATATACACATATATTTCTCTCTTCATGAACTTCTTACCAAGTTCTAAAGCTATAAATTCAGATTATTAATATAATGGAATAATGAAGTTTAAGGTAAATCCATCTTTTAAAATAAGAGTATATGAATAAAAGATTGTTGATGAAATCAAATTATTAATGTCAAAATTTAATAGAGTATGTTCCCAACTGGAATAAGTTTGGATATTAGATGATGGGTTTTTGTACTACATGTAATGATGATTTTCATTCTGATGATTTTTACATTAAATATTGCACAGAAGGTCTTTTACAATTAATTTCTTTACAGTTAAAATCTTTGACAGCGCATGATAGATAGTTTCAATTGAAGTTATTCACAAAAACAATTAAACCAACTGAAATTATCATTGGATTCGATGACATAAACCCTACATTTTTCCATAGTACATCATTTTAATGTACACCAAATTAAACTAGATAGCCATTGCAAAAATAAATTAGAATGTTTGGTATTTTCATCACAAATTCAATATTCTACAACTTATGTACTGGTCATACTGGACTTAATAAAATTTCACATTTACACTGTCATATGTCATATACATATGAAATCGAAGTTTATAAAAATCACGTTATAAACAGTAGTCTGACTTATAGAAATCTCTTGGTTTGTTTTGTATGGGTGATGTTTTTTCTTATGATTAAGAGAAAATGTTCTACTAGGATTGATACTGTCTATTAATTGGCTTACATCTATGTAAGGTGGCTAGATGTTATTTCCTTCCGTAGAATTCCCACTGATCACATATCCATTGACAGAAAATTGATTTTCGATTTATCGTTGGGCAAACTTTATTTTAATAGATAATATATAACACAGAAATAAATACAGTTAGGAATCATTTGGTCATCAGCATTCTATCTTCTAATCCAAATCCCATCGAATAACTTTACGAATAGGTCACCAATGTAAGAGATTAGACATTTAAGTTTAAGATGTTGGCTTGTTGGCAAAATTCGAAAAATAGTTTTAAATCTAAGACTTTTTTGGTTTCGCTTTCATCAGTAAGACACAAATAATAATAAGAAATATGGTGACTTATCATAAATTCAAGTACGCGTCGAAACCTCTCAAGACAAACCGGTATTATTTCAACATTATTATGGAATAACTCAACAGGTTAATGACTAGAAATATTCGTGAACAAACTATAATCATTGCAATCAATGTGTTACGTAAATCCTACATTCTTTTTCATGGCGACATTCCATATTGATGAATAAAAAATAACTGCGTACTTGATTTGGAACATAATTAATCTACTTAATTTTACATTTCAATCTTTATATTTCCAATACGGTATCAAATAAGTTGTTGTATAAAACAATTTTTATACATACATACATGATTGCTGTCGTTTTTTAACTTCAGTAATCTTGATCAAAAGTTTAAAAAACAGGCTAAATGTGTTCGATCATTGAAATGTTAATGAAAACGAAGACCATACTCATTAAAAATATTTTTATAAATAGACTCTATGGTCTTAAACGTGCTGTCAGATATTTATTAGGCAGCTTTAAACTTATGAATTAACATTTTCCAAGTCAACTAGCTTGGATTGATTTATAACTTGCTAGTAGGTGTCAGTACCAAGGTTGGACTTGTTAGTTTCATATAAATTGAGTATTGGGTAGAAAGTTAATCATAAGTATATTTTTTGCCATATCTCAATGGATAGAAAATCATATTTCCAATGTTATCGACCAGTTATTTACTGACTCCGAAGAAGTGGATTACAGTAAGTCACGAAACATTAGAAATACAATTTTCTACTCACTAGGATATAATAAAAAATATATTTATTATAGTATGTGTGTATTGTTGATATTTTTGTAATTAATACTTTTGAAAAGTACAGACGTATTGTTTTGTGTAGGTTACCCACCAAATATGGTCCAATTTTTTTCTGATTCTTCCTACTAGTTAAATGAATTGTGCAATATGAAAGATAAGCTAAATCAATATTACAACAGTCTGTATTTGTTTTAAAATTATTAAAGAAGAATTAATGGTGTTATTCACTTGGATTACTGTGGTTGTCTTCAAGGACATTAGTAATTTTTGCTTCATGAATTATCTTTGCATAGTTCAGAGACACAGTCTGAAGGGATATTATCATTGTGCTTCTATTGAAATTGCCAAATGAACCAAAAGTAAGCTAATTGACTACAATTATTACTTTATAAGATACATAGAAACTGTGTAAAACTAGTAATCAATAGTCAAAAAATTTATGCTCTTATTCCACAGTGAATTTGAAAGTTTAAGAACGAATCATTATTCATTAAGAAAAACCCAAGAATTATCGACTAGTTTTTTTTCACTTACTGAAGTTCCATTTGCTAGACTGGAGTAGTAGTATCAGTTGCAGTAGATAATCTTAGGAGAAAGAGTGAATTCGAAGAATAAAAGTTATGAAATTATTTGAGAAATAGGGTATAAGGCAAAACAAAGAACAAATGTAATTGAACGTTTTGACAGATTCTGAGTCAGGTCTCTTAATGTCTCCAATCGTCAATTGCAATAATCTCACTGACCCTGACAACCAAACATGTAACTACAAACACCCTTTAGACCATTACTCATAGTCCTGTTTAAAAGTTACTATGTACACATGATCTAAAGTGAACAGATGCTGTTTGGAATAGTATATTATTTGTTAGATACTGATGTACAGTTCATTTGTAAATTTAATGTGCTTTTTTGTTCTATCAGATTTGTTTAATTTAAATGCAGCTCAGGTTTCTTATCATTCAATTTCATGTTATAAATTCTACTGATAATACAGTTTAACCTATTGTGATCATCTGTATTCTATGTTTTATTATGTTGCTTAATCAATGGTAATGTAATAAGAGACAGTGAATATATGTGTTGTTTATCACTTTCATAAATTAAACTTTATCTTGACAAGCTTCTACATTTAGTAGTTTATAATTTTATATCTTCAAATAAATCAGTCAAGCA